GGGAGCTCTGGCGTGGGCTGGTCCATGAGGTCACGAAGAGTCCGAGACGACTGAACGAATGAACAACAACAATACAGAGAGTAAACCCAACTACCTCCCCCCAGTGTCCATAAAGGGAAATATCCATGAGGGGGAAAGAGAGTCCCTTGTTTGTGAGATAGGGGACCATCAGGAGCCCAGGTGTGCCTCACATGGGAAAATTCAAATAATTGGTTACTTTCTGCTGTAGACATATGAAAATAGAGCATAAAGCCTTGATTAAATGATACACACCAAACTGACCAAGGCTTAACCCTTATTATCCAGCCTGGCGTCCTTGCCCTTAGCAAAACTATAAGTTACTATTTCTCATGGGGGGGGGGGGAGGTCATGTTCGACTTCATCCACAGGTTGCGAACCATTGGGATATATCCTGATGGTAGGGATCACATATCCTTAGAGGAAGGAGAGAAAGGTGCTTAATCCCCATCTCACCTCGTAGTCACGCTGCCAGCCTGGGGAACTTGGTGAGCCAGGCCACCCACCAAACTTCACGTTGCTCGTACATAATGCCAAGTCAGTGAAAAATAAAACACATCATTTATGACTTCCTCAAAAATGCAGGGGTTGACCTGAAATGCTTCATGGAGACTTGGACTGGGGGTAATAGTGGTCCTGCTGTAGAGATTTCAGCTAAGAACTACCATGTCAGGCAACACAGAGAAGCCATTGAAATCCACAAGCATGTGGACAATTTCAACAGAAAGGAAGAAACCATGAAAATGAACAAAATCTGGCTACCAGTACTAAAAAAAAACTCTAAAATTCTAACAGTAAATAAAAAAACAAAATTCAAACACAGGGAAACCCCAGCCAGGAAACAATCAGGAATACCTGATCACCTCTCAACAAGGAAATTTCCCAGGCAGTATCAAGCCACACCTAAAAGCTGTCAGGCCATCAAATGCTAATCAAGGTGGCCAGCTGAAACAGTCAAACCTAGCACCAACAGACAAGAGTTCTTTCTCTCACCCTGGACCTTCCACAGATATATAAACCCAACTTCCAGTTTCCAACAAACCTCACAACCTCTGAGGATGCCTGCCACAGATGCAGGTGAAACATCAGGAGAGAATACTTCTAGAACATGGCCATACAACCCGAAAAATCTACAACACAATATAGTTATCTTAGCAGTTTATGAATTACCCAACTGCTAAAAAAGTTTTGTTTACATTTTGTTCTTTTGCAGCTATGATTTTCCAGAAAAGGCTGCAAAGCTCCAAACAACCTCCCTTTTATTATGGACTAGCTGTACCCGCCACGTGTTGCTGTGGCCAACCTTCCCTCCCTCTTTCTCTCCTTCCTTCCCTCTATTTCTTTCCCTGTCTCTCATCTTTCTTCCATCTCTACCTGTTTCTTTCCTCCCTTTCTTTGCTCTTTGGTCCTTCCTTCCTTCCTTCCTTTTTTCCTTCCTCTCCTTCCTTCCTTCTCTTTTCCTTTCCTTTTTTTTCCCTTTCTCTCCTCCTTCTCTCTCTTTCTTTTCTTTCTTTCCTTCTTTCCTCCCTCTTCTCCCTCCTTCCTTCCTTCCCTTCTTTCCCTCCTTCTCTCGTTACTTCTTGACTGTCCTTCCATTTAATATTGTATTTATATTTTACATAGAAAGAAGGAAAGGAAGGAGGAAGGAAGAAAGGAGGGAGGGAGGAAATGAAGAAAGGGAAAGAAGGAGGAAAGGGAGGGGGAGGAAAAGAAGGAAAGAAGAAGGAAAAGAGAAGGAAAAAGGAAGGGAGGGAGGGAAAGAAGGGAAGGTAGGAAAAAAAGGAGGGTCAGGAAGGGAAGGGAGGAAGGAGGGAGAAGGAAGGAGGGAAAGAAAGGAGGGGGATGAAGAAAGGAGGGAGGGAAGGGAAATGAAGGGGAAGGAAAATGAAGAAAGGGAAAGAAGGAGAAAGGAGGGAGGGAGGAAAAGGAAGGAAGGAAGGAAAAAGGAAGAGGGGGGAAGAAGGGAAGGAAGGGAAAAAAAGGAGGGACAGGAAGGGAGGGAGGGAGAAGGAATGAAGGAGGAAGGAGGGAAAGGAGGGGGTGAAGAAAGGAGGGAGGGAAGGAAATGAAGAAGGAAATGAAGGGAAAGGAGGAGGAAAGGGAGGGAGGACGGAAAAGAAGGAGGGACAAAAAGGAAGGGAAGGAGGGAAAGAAGGAAAGGAAGGAGAAGGAAGAAAAGGAAGGAAAGAAAGGGAGGAAAGGGAAGGGAGAGAAGGAAGGTCCTTCATTCAAGCACCGTGGACCTTCCTTGCCTCCTCCCCCTCCCCCCCTCCTCCTCCCCTTCTTCCTTGCGTGGATGCTCCGTTGCTGCTGCCGTTGCTGCTGCTTTCCCAACAGGGAAAGGAGGAGGAGACTGCTCTCCTGACATAGGAGGGAAAGAGAAGGGGCTGCATGCGACACGCCTCCACCTCCACTCCACTCGCTTGTGTGTGTGTGGCCGTGCACGTGCGCCTGGAGGAGGGGGGTGTGTGGCCATGGGTCTCGGTAGACATGCAGTTTCCCCTTTGTGGACCTGCAGTTTAGAAGTCCTTTCTGCTTTTGGTTTTCGTTGTTTTTTTTTGAGTGGAGAACATACATTGGGTTGTTAGGGACATAGTGTCCAAATTTGGTGTCAATTGTCCCAGTGGTTTCTGAGTTCTGATGGTATCACAAACGAACATTACATTTTTATTTATATAGATGAGAAATTTGGGAAGAAAAACATCAATGACAACTAAACCTGCAAATGTGGGGGGCAAACTGTATTTAAATGCTGAAGTAAGATGTGTGGCAATGAAAATCAAACACACAACAAAAGAGGATCAATTCAAGATTTACTGAAGAAACAGTACATTAAAAAGCAATAGATGGTGATCAAAGCAGTTTTTTTCATGTCAGGAGTGACTTCAGAAACTGCAAGTTGCTTCTGGTGTGAGAGAATTGGCCATCTGCAAAGATGTAGCCCAGGGGACACCCAGATTTGTTTGTTTGTTTCTTTTACCTTCTTTGTGGGAGGCTTCTCTTATGTCCCCACATGGAGAGCTGGAGCTGACAGAAGGAGCTCATCCATGTTCTCCCCAGATTCGAACCTCTGACCTGTCAGTTATCAGTCCTGCGGGCATAAAAGTTTAACCCATTGCGCTACCAGGGATTCCAAAGCAGTGAATATATGTTCTACATAACAGAATAGGAATAATCATGTCTGAAGCAAGACCAACACAGAGGCCAGAAATGATGTTCAAAGGCACTCTGGTTTAGGCACTAAAACTCATTTTGGGCTAAAACCTATTCGACTCTGGTTTCAGCAATTTCAACCCTTTTGCAAAAAGAAATATATATATATAAAAAATAGACATTAAAAACAACAAAACAAAGAAGGCAGAAATTGTATATAATGCTTGAACTACACAGCAAACTAATACATAAAATACAAAATTAAATCAGAAACAAAAACACCAATGAAATAGATATCAACATAGACACACAAAGTGAACTAAGAAATGAACAAACAGACGTGGGCACACTTCTACAAGTCTTATTCTATCTGTTAATTTCAATTCCTGGAACCCCTGGTGGCACAGTGGGTTAAACTTTTGTGCCACCAGGACAGCAGGTCGCAGGTTCGAATCCAAGGACAGTGCGGATGAGCTCCTTCTGTCAGCTCCAGCTCCCCATGCAGGGACATGAGAGAAACCACCCACATGGATGGTAAAACGTCAAAACATTCAGGCATCCCCTGGGCAACGTCCTTGCAGACAGTCAATTCTCTCACACCACAAGTGACTTGTAGTTTCTCAAGTCGCTCCTGACACAAAAAAAAAAAATAAATCCCTTATTATTCTACCCCCTTTAAATAAAGCTATGTAATCACACTTCCACTTTTGATAACATTCTTTCAATTAATAAATATCACAACTGACATTTGCCCACATTGTGGTCAGTTTGTTCAATTTGGCAAATTCGCACATCTTCATAATCCATTACCAGAGTTGCTTTTGTACGTTAGAAATACTCTCTGACGTCAATTATCACAATTTTCTCCAATGATGTCTGTGTAGATGTGAACTCTAAGTGAAGTTCTGTCCACACTTCAGGCATTTATAGGGTTTCTACCCAGTGTGAGTCCTTTGATGCGAACGTAGACCTGAACTCTGAGTGAAACTCTTTCCACACTCCAGGCATGTATATGGTTTCTCCCCAGTGTGAGTCCTTTGATGTTTATGTAGACCTGATCTATGAGCAAAGCTCTGACCACAATCCAGGCATTTATAGGGTTTCTCCCCAGTGTGAGTCCTTTGATGCGAACATAGGCCTGAACTCTGAGTGAAGCTCTTTCCACAATCCAGGCATGTATAGGGTTTCTCCCCGGTGTGAATCATCTGATGTGAACGTAGACTTGAACTATGAGTGAAGGTATTTCCACACTTCAAGCATGTATAGGGTTTCTCTCCAGTGTGAATCCGCTGATGTGAACGTAGACCTGAACTCTGAGCAAAGCTCTGTCCACACTCCAGGCATGTATATGGTTTCTCTCCAGTGTGAATCCTTTGGTGTGAACGTAAATGTCCAATCTCACTGAAGCTCTGTCCACACTCCAGGCATGTATAAGGTTTCTCCCCAGTGTGAACCCTTTGGTGTGAACGTAGATGTCCACTCTCAGTGAAGCTCTGTCCACACTCCATGCATGTATATGGTTTCTCCCCAGTGTGAATCCTTTGATGTGAATGTAGTCTTGAAATATGAGTGAAGTTCTGTCCACATTCCAAGCATTTATACGGTTTCTCTCCAGTGTGAATCCTTTGATGTCTACGTAGACCTGTGCTATCAGAAAACCTCTGTCCACACTCCAGGCATTTATTGGGTTTCTCCCCAGTGTGAAGTCTTTGATGTGAATGTAGGCTTCCAATCCAAGCAAAACTCTTTCCACATTCCAGGCATGTATAGGGTTTCTTCCCAGTGTGAGTCCTTTGATGTTTTTGCAGATCTGAACTCTGAGTGAAGCTCTGTCCACACTCTAAGCATTTATAAGGTTTCTCTCCAGTGTGAAACCTTTGATGTCTACGCAGATTTGAACTCTGAGCAAAGCTTTGTCCACACTCTAGGCATGTATATGGTTTCTCTCCAGTATGAGTCCTTTGATGCGAACGCAGGCCTCCACTGTGAGCAAAGCTCTTTCCACACTCCTGGCAGTTATAGGGTTTCTCCCCAGTGTGAATCCTTTGGTGCGAACATAGGCCTCCACTCTGAGCAAAGCTCTTTCCACACTCCAGACATGTATAAGGTTTCTCCCAAGTGTGAATCCATTGATGTATCTTCAGCTTTCCATGCTGACTAAAGCTCTTTCCACATTCAATACATTGATATGCTTTCTCCTCCATGCCAACATTATGTACATTTAATTGTAGTATGGACATCTGAGTCTTGTTTATCCCTTTCTAATTACTCACAGAAATGGGTTCAAATTACAGGAAAGGAGATTCCATCGTAACATTTGGAGGAACTTTCTGACTGTTCAGCAGTGGAACTCTCTGCCTTAAGAGTGTAGTGAAGGCTGCTTTGGAGGCATTTAAATAGAGGCTGGATGGCCATCAGAGGTAGTAGGTGGTCCATGTGGCCTATTCCAACTCTAGGATTCTACTTGAGGATCAAAAGTGAATGTAAGAATTCAGCAAGATGAGCACAGTGAGAGGATTCCTTTTTCCTACTGGACTGGTTTCTTTACTGCACTTTGGTTTCCAAATTCCTTAATATTCACTTGAAGCTCGTTTGTTTCTCATCACACCAGGGATGGCTCCAGAGAATCCTCATGCCCCTGCTCAAGAAAGAAGAACGAAAAGTTAAACGTGCATCTCAGACCTCTTTACCTCCAGCATTATTCTCGTTTGCATTCATGGATCATGTTGAAAATGGAAATACCAAAACACAAAGGCATGAAATGTTTCAAGGCCATACACAGAAACCAGGAAAAGCAATCACAGATTCATAAAAAAACAAGGATTTTTTTGCGTCAGGAGCGACTGAGAAACTACTAGATGCTTCTGGTGTGAGAGAATTGGCCGTCTGCAAGAACGCTGCCCAGGGGACGACCAGATGTTTGATGTTTTACCATCCATGTGGGAGGCTTCTCTCATGTCAGCTGGAGCTGACAGTGGGAGCTCATCATGATTACCTAAGTTCCTTTCAGGCAATTTGTTCCCTCGGTTGAGTCCCATGCAATTGAGAAAATCTCAGCAGACTTCAAAGATGCCACCATCATCCCCATTTTCAAAAAAAGGGGAAAGAACACTCTGGGAACTACTGAGGTATCTCCTTTCTAACCTCCATTGGGAAACTCCTCGCAATAATCCTTGCAAACCACAACTGGAATCAGCACCTTGGGAATAGATAGGGGATTATGGGTTAGATAGTTATTGGATGGGAGAGAGTGGAAATTAATGCCAAAGGAAAAAGGAAGCAAAATAGGGCTTGGGATATTTTTTGAAGGACTCTGTGTGTGTGTGTGTGTATTTTGGTAGGATATGTTTTAGTCCACTATCAGTCAAAGATTATAGACAAAAGCAAGAACGGGCAGGAGAGATACATTTTGAATTTCGAGAAATAAGGGCAAGATTGCCAATATCTGCTGGATAATGGAGAAAGGCAGAGAATTTCATAAAAACATCTATTTCTGTTTTATTGACTATTCTAAAGCCTTTGACTGTGTGGATCATATCAAACTGTGGCAAGTTCTTGGTGGTCTGGGCATACCAAATCACCTTGTCTCTCTCCTGACGAATCTATATAAGGACCAGTAAGAACTGACCATGAAACAACAGACTGGTTCAAGATTGGGAAAGGCATACAGCAGGGTCGTATACTCTCACCCAACCTATTCAACTTGTATGCAGAACACATCATGCAACATGCGGGGTTTGAGGAATGCAAGGCTGGGATGAAAATTGCTGGAAGAAACATTAACAACCTTAGATATGCAGATGACACCACTTTGAAAGCCGAAAACAAGGAGGAGCTGAGGAGTCTTCTAATCAAGGTGAAAGAAGAAAGTGTAAAAGCTGGGTTGCAGCTAAACATAAAAAAACCAAGATTATGGCAACAAGAATGATTGACAACTGGGAAATAGAGGGAGAAAACGTGGAGGCCATGACAGACTTTGTATTTCTAGGTGCAAAGATAACTGCAGACGCAGACTGCAGCCAGGAAATCAGAAGAATCTTACTTCTTGGGAAGAGAGCAATGATTAATCTTGATAAAATAGTGAAGAGTAGAGACATCACACTGACAATGAAGATCCACATAGTAAAAGCCATGGTATTCCCCATAGTCACCTACGGATGTGAGAACTGGGCCATAGGGAAGGCTGAGCGAAAGAAGATAGATGCTTTTGAATTGTAGTGTTGGAGGAAAGTTCTGAGAGTGCCTTGGACTGCGAGAAGATCCAACCAGTCCATACTTCAAGAAATAAAACCCGACTGCTCACTGGACGGAAGGATAGTAGAGGCAAAGATGAAGTACTTTGGCCACATCATGAGAAGAAAGGAAAGCTTGGAGAAGGCAATGATGCTGGGGAAAATGGAAGGAAAAAGGAAGAGTGGCTGACCAAGGGCAAGATGAATGGATGGGATCCTTGAAGGGACTAGATTGACCTTGAAGGAGCTGGGGGTGGTGAGGGCTGACAGGGAGCTCTGGCGTGGGCTGGTCCATGAAGTCAAGAAGAGTTGTAAACGACTGAACAAATGAACAACAACTGTCAACAGTTATTTACAGTCCAACAAATCCCACAGATGCGAAATTTACACACTTCATGTCTTCACTTCAATGTAAGAGATTAAAATGGCAGGCAGTCAATTTAACAGCCATTGACGAATATCTACGTAACCCGCAAGCTGTCGCATGTGGTGAAGTGATAAAAGCCTCTTCATCCAACCCTATCCAGGTTCTTCAAACTTTCACCGTTTTGTGCTCTAACCTCAAAAGCCTGCTTACATATTCACCATGCAACACAAGAAAATACTCTATCGACAGAACAAACCCATGGTTCGACCAGGACTGTAAAAAACCTTGGTCAAATGTACACAGATTTAACATGGGAAGGGGTTCTGGTTGTGGTAGGTGGTCCCTTTGCAGATTGGCCAAGACTTAACTCTTATTATATCTTTCCAGCCTGGTGTCCTTGGCAAAACTATGAATTCCCTGATTATAAACTATCTTTTATTGGGGGGGGGGGGGGGTCACTCCTGCCCTGGAGACTAGGATGCAATGGAACAATGGCTTCAATCTACAGTAGCGTTTCTCAACCTGGGGGTCAGGACCCCTTGGGGGCTCGCAAGGAGATGTCAAGAGGGGTCACGAAAGACCATCAGAAGTCATGGTATTTTCTGCTGGTCATGAGGGTTCCATGTGGGAAGTTTGGTCCAATTCTATCGTTGGTGGGGTTCAGAATGCTCTTTGATTGTAGGTGAACTATACATCCCAGCAAATACAACACCAAAATGTCAAGGTTTATTTCCCCCAAAACTCCACCAGTGTTCACATTTGGGCACATTGTGGCACAGCTGGCTGAGTGTCAGCTGCATTATAAGATCACTCTGACCAAAAGGTAATGAGTTCGAAGCCAGCCCGGGTTGGAGTGGGCTTCCAACCAATTGTGTAGCCTGTTGTCGACCTTTGCAACCCAAAAGACAGCTGCATCTGTCAAGTAGGAAAATTAGGTACCACCTTGTGTGGGGAGGCTAAATTAACTAATTTATGAGGCCATAAAAAGACTCCAGCATGCGGGAAATGCGGAAGTACTTCATCAGTGTCGCAGATGGACGATGAAAGCGACAGCTCCCTCGCGGCCAGAAAACGTTAAATAGCCTCTGTGTATGTCTGTTTACATTGTATGTCAAATTGGCATTGAATGTTTGCCATATATGTGTACACTGTAATCCGTTTGCCATATATGTGTACACTGAGTCCCCTGCGGGGTGAAAAGGGTGGAATATAAATACTGTAAATAAATAAAATATCCGTGCCAAGTTTGGTCCAGATCCATCATTGCTTGAGTCCATAGTGCTCTCTGGATGTAGGTGAACTACAACTCCAAAACTCAAGGTCAATGACCACCAAACCCTTCCAGTATTTTGTCTTGTTCATGGGAATTCTGTGTGCCAAGTTTGGTTCAATTCCATCATTGGTGGAGTTCAGAATGCTCTTTGATTGTAGGTGAACTAGAAATCCCAGGAACTACAACTCCCAAATGACAAAATCAATTATCCCCTCTCCCAATCCCACCAGTATTCAAATATGGACATATCCTGCATATCAGATATTTATATGATGATTCATAACAGTAGCAAAATTACAGTTGTGAAGTAGTAAAAGAAAATCTTATGGTTGGAGGTCACCACAACATGAGGAACTGTATTAAGGGGTCGTGGCATTAGAAAGGTTGAGAAACACTGATCTAGAGGGAAGGAGATTCCAGCTGAATATGGGGAAGAAATGCAAAGATACAGAATGGGGGACGATGCCTGGCTCGAGAGCAGTACGTGTGAAAAAGATCTTGGAGTCCTCGTGGAAAACAAGTTAAAAATGAGCCAACAATGTGATGTGGCAGCAAAAAAAGCCAATGGGATTTTGGCCTGCATCAATAGGAGCATAGTGTCTAGATCTAGGGAAGTCATGCTACCCCTCTATTCCGCCTTGGTCAGAACACACCTGGAATATTGTGTCCAATTCTGGGCACCACAATTCAAGAGAGATATTTATTTATTTATTTATCGTGTCATCCGCAACCAGAACATTGTATTACATTTCTCGCAGAACAAAACAAACCAAGAGAGATATTGACAAGCTGGAATGTGTCCAGAGGAGGGCGACTAAAATGATCAAGGGTCTGGAGAACAAGCCCTATGAGGAGCGGCTTAAGGAGCTGGGCATGTTTAGCCTGAAGAAGCGAAGGCTGAGAGGCGATATGATAGCCATGTATAAATATGTGAGAGGAAGCCACAGGGAGGAGGGAGCAAGCTTGTTTTCTGCTTCCTTGGAGACTAGGACGCGGAACAATGGCTTCAAACTACAAGAGAGGAGATTTCATCTGAACATGAGGAAGAACTTCCTGACTGTGAGAGCCGTTCAGCAGTGGAACTCTCTGCCCCGGAGTGTGGTGGGGCTCCTTCTTTGGAGGCTTTTAAACAGAGGCTGGATGGCAATCTGTTGGGGGTGCTTTGAATGCAATTTTCCTGCTTCTTGGCAGGGGTTGGACTGGATGGCCCATGAGGTCTCTTCCAACTCTTTGATTCTGATTCTAAGTGTGAGAGAGAGCTGTCCAGCAGTGCACCTCTCTCTGCCCTGGAGTGAGGTGAAGGCTTTTAAACAGAGGCTGGATGGCCATCTGTCGGGGGTGCTTTGAATGCAATTTTCCTGCTTCTTGGCAGAATGGGGTTGGACTGGATGGCCCACCAGGTCTCTTCCAGCTCTAGGATTCTATGATTTCCTTATCTCTTGTGTTGGATCTGAAAAGGCTGCTTCCATTTGCAAGCGGGACCAAAGCAGCCTCTTCTTTGGAGGCTTTTAAACAGTGGCAGAGAACAGGCCACAACGCCAGACACCTTCAGTACAAAGCCATGCAGAGAAATACAAAGACAATTCAGACTCAATGATATGCCATGATTAAAATGCCATAATTAAGAACCAGGCAGGCCCCTTGAAGCCCCTCCCCCTCCCCCTCTGTATGTATGTCGTGTCAGGAGAGACTTAAGAATTCCCTCCTCCTCCCCTCCTAAAGGGAGATAGGTATACACACACATACCTCTCTCTGTCTCTTTGCTTTCCCGCCTGACAAAGATGGCGGAAGTGGAGGCCCAACGAAGAAGAAGCCCGCCCCCTTCCTCCGTCTTCTCTCGCTAGCCGCCCTTCGTTCTCCTATTGGCTGCGTCCGTGACGTCCCGCCCACCGGAGCCTCCTCCATTGGCTGTCCGCCTTCCTGCAGGTTTGATTGACGTGATTGCAAAGAAGGCGTTCTCTGCTATTTATTTATTTGTCGTGTCAGAGCAACCAGTCCATTATATTGCATTTCTAACAGAACAAAGAAAACAAACAGAGAAAATACAAAATATGTGAGTTTGGTAGTTGATTAAATGTCCTTTGACCAGTATCTGGCCACTTGGGGTGCCTCTGGTGTTGCCGCAAGGAGGTCCTCCATCGTGCATGTGGCAAGGCTCAGGGTGCATTGCAGCAGGTGGTCTGTAGTTTGCTCCTCTCCACACTCGCATGTCGAGGAGTCCACTTTGTAGCCCCATTTCTGGAGGTTGGCTCTGCATCTCGTGGTGCCAGAGCGCAGTCTGTTCAGCGCCTTCCAAGTCGCCCAGTCCTCTGTGTGCTCAGGGGGGAGTCTCTCATCTTGGTTTGAGCCTTCCACTTTTGGACTCTCGCTTGCTGAGGTGTTCCAGCGAGTGTCTCTGTAGATCTTAGAAAACTATTTCTTGATTTAAGTCGTTGACGTGCTGGCTGATACCCAAACAGGGGATGAGCTGGAGATGTCACTGCCTTGGTCCTTTCACTATTGGCTGCTACTTCCCGGCGGATGTCAGGTGGTGCAATACCGGCTAAGCAGTGTAATTTCTCCAGTGGTGTAGGGCGCAGACACCCCGTGATAATGCGGCATGTCTCATTAAGAGCCACATCCACTGTTTTAGTGTGGTTAGATGTGTTCCACACTGGGCATGCGTACTCAGCAGCAGAGTAGCATAGCGCAAGGGCAGATGTCTTCACTGTGTCTGGTTGTGATCCCCAGGTTGTGCCAGTCAGCTTTCGTATGATATTGTTTCTAGCACCCACTTTTTGCTTGATGTTCAGGCAGTGCTTCTTGTAGGTCAGAGCACGGTCCAGAGTGACTCCCAGGTATTTGGGTGCGCTGCAATGTTCCCATGGGATTCCTTCCCAGGTCAACCTCAGAGCTCGGGATGCTTCTCTGTTCTTGAGATGAAAGGCACATGTCTGTGTTTTAGATGGGTTGGGGATCAGCTGGTTTTCCCTGTAATAGGCAGTAAGAGCACCTAGAGCTTCGGAAAGCTTCTGTTCTACCATCTCAAAGCTCCCTGCTTGAGCGGTAATGGCACGATCATCAGCATAGATGAAACTCTCTGTCCCTTCTGGCAGTGGCTGGTCATTTGTGTAGATGTTGAACATGGACGGAGCAAGCACGCTCCCCTGAGGCAGGCCGTTCTTCTGTTTCCGCCATCTGCTTCTCTGGCCCTGGAACTCAACAAAAAAGCTCCTGTTTGTAGCAGGTTTCCTATGAGGCGGGTGAGGTGGTCATCCCTTGTGATATTATACATTTTTCTCAGGAGGAGGCGGAGGTTCACAGTATCATAGGCTGCTGACAGATCTATGAAGACAGCTCCTGTGATCTGCTGCCTTTCATAGAATCATAGAATCAAAGAGTTGGAAGAGACCTCGTGGGCCATGCAGTCCAACCCCCTGCCAAGAAGCAGGAATATTGCATTCAAATCACCCCTGACAGATGGCCATCCAGCCTCTGTTTAAAAGCTTCCAAAGAAGGAGCCTCCACCACACTCCGGGGCAGAGAGTTCCACTGCTGAACGGCTCTCACAGTCAGGAAGTTCTTCCTCATGTTCAGATGGAATCTCCTTTCTTGTAGTTGGAAGCCATTGTTCCGCGTCCTAGTCTCCAAGGAAGCAGAAAACAAGCTTGCTCCCTCCTCCCTGTGGCTTCCTCTCACATATTTATACATGGCTATCATATCTCCTCTCAGCCTTCTCTTCTTCAGGCTAAACTTGCCCAGCTCCTTAAGCCGCTCCTCATAGGGCTTGTTCTCCAGACCCTTGATCATTTTAGTCGCCCTCCTCTGGACACATTCCAGCTTGTCAATATCTCTCTTGAATTGTGGTGCCCAGAATTGGACACAATATTCCAGTGTGGTCTAACCAAAGCAGAATAGAGGGGTAGCATGACTTTCCCTGGATCTAGACACTATGCTCCTATTTGATGCAGGCCAAATCCCATTGCTGGCTTTTTTTGCTGCCACATCACATTGTTGGCTCATGTTTAACTTGTTGTCCACGAGGACACCAAGATCTTTTTCACACGTACTGCTCTCGAGCCAGGCATTGTCCCCCATTCTGTATCTTTGCATTTCGGTTTTTTTTTCTGCCTAAGTGGGAGTGTCTTGCATTTGTCACTGTTGAACCTCATTTTGTTAGTTTTGGCCAATCATCTCTCTAATCTGTTAAGATCGTTTTGAATCCTGCTCCTGTCCTCTGGAGTATTGGCTCTCCCTCCCAATTTGGTGTCGTCTGCAAACGTGATGATCATGCCTTCTAAACCTTCATCTAAGTCATTAATAAAGATGTTGAACAGGACCGGGTCCAGGACGAACCCTGCTTGTGGCACTCCACTCGTCACTTCTTTCCAGGATGAAGAGGAAGCATTGGGGAGAATCACCCTCTGGATTCGTCCGCTTAACCAATTACAGATCCACCTACCGTAGTTTTGCCTAGCCCACATTGGACTAGTTTGTTTGCCAGAAGGTCATGGGGCCTTGTCGAAGGCCTTACTGAATCCAGATACGCTACATCCACGGCTTTCCCATCTACCCAGCTTGTAACTCTATCGAAAAAAGAGATCAGATAGTCCTGGCATGACTTGTTTTGATAAATCCATGTTGACTATTAGTCAAATTCGCTAATACATTTATTTCGTGCCCATGTGAAGAAACCACTGTCACTTTTCTACAACTTGTACTAGCTAGAACATCTAAATTCAATATAACTCCATAGTATCCGAATGGGATTTTTGTTTGTTTGTTTTTTTGTCGTGTCAGGAGCGACCTGAGAAACTGCAAGTCGCTTCTGCTGTGAGAGAATTGGCCGTTTGCAAGGACGTTGCCCAGGGGATGCCCGGATGATTAGATGTTTTTATCATCTTTGTGGGAGGCTTCTCTCATGTCCTCACATGAGGAGCTGGAGCTGATAGAGGGAGCTCATCCGCCTCTCCCCAGATTCAAACCTGCGACCTGTCAGTCTTCAATATGGGTGAGGGAGCGGAAGGGAAGGGGAAACAGGTTAAAAACATACAATGCCCAGATCCATCACCAAATTGTAGATTCAGAGAAGACGATTACTGGACACACAGTTAACTTTTGGGACTAGTCATTCCCTGACGGATTTTGTATGCTGCTGCACAGAACTTTGCAACATTGTAGGTTGTAGCTGAATTAATATCTGCAAGTAGCATGGAGGTATAAAATTGTCCTGAATGGCCTGGGTGCTTGTATAACAGAGGTAAGATAAGCCTGGCACAGGCACGGATATCCCTGTAGAACGGGCACTGAAGGAGCACATGTTCTATTGTTTCTACATGACCCGAGTCACAGGGGCAGAGTCTCTCTGGGAAAGGGATCTTCCGGTAGCGGCCTTCGAGTACAGCTGATGGGAGAGTGTGGCATCGAGCCAGGGTGAAAGCCCTTTGATGAGTAGGAACAGGGGCGGCCCGTCCATTACGCGAAGTAAGCGGCCGCAGAACACTTTTTTTTGGCCAGGGCGCAGAGGCACCTCTGTAAATGCCCCTCGACCAGGGCCGGCTGAACGGTTAGGCAAAGTAACCATTTGCGGGTGGCGCCACTCGGCCAGCCGGGCACCGGAGTCTCCTTAGGCCACGCCTCCTCCTGCAGGCCCCATGCACCCTCAACAGCGCCAAACAGAAGCAGAAGCTACTGGAAGTGTGCACGTAATAAGAGAGGCAGAGAAGGGAAGAGAGGAGAGAAAGAGCCTAGCTGCGTGCCTCCTTGCACCTGAAGGGCTTCCCTCACACCTAGTGGGAAGGGCCTGTGCTTCTCCATTAGCAGGCTGTGCCTCCCCCCCCCCCGCCCTCCGTGCTTGAGGCCTCCTGGCGCCATGCGACTGCCTTCCCTTCCTGCGTGCATGCTCCCAAGGCCTCTTCTCCCACTTGCTTTTCTTGGGCCCTCCAGCCAGGAAGGGAAGGCAGCCGCAAAGAGCCTGGAGGCCTCGCCGCACATGCAGGCGAAAGAGACAAGCACGGAGAGTCCTGGGAGAGAGAGAGAGGATTGAGGGGCGGAGGCACAGCCTTCTAATGGAGAAGCGCAGGCCCCGCCCACTAGGCGAGAGGGAAGTTTTCCACGTGCAAGGAGGCAGGCAGCCAGGCTCTTTCTCTTTTCCTTCCCTTCCCTGCCTCTCTTTCTTAAGCTCACACTCCCATTCTCCCTACTCTGGAAGAGCACAGGGCCTCTTCTCTCAGGCCTCTCAGGCAGCTGTGCCTGGGCCCCTCTCAGAGCAGCAAGGAGGCCTCTTCAAAAAACGGAAGGGATTGAAGGTACTGCAAATGTCATCTTTTATACATGCCTCCCCCAAACCCCTCCAGTATTTGGTCATGGAAGTCCTGTATGCCAAGTTTGGTTCAATTCTATTGTTGGTGGAGCTCAGAATATTTTTTGGTGCTTGGTAAACTGCAATTCCCAAATATCAGGGTCTATTTTTCCAAAACCCTCTCCAGTATTTTCTGTTAGTCATGGAAGTCCTGTATGCCAAGTTTGGTTCAATTCTATTATTGGTGGAGCTCAGAATGCTCTTTGGTGCTTGGTGAAGCATTCTCACCTGATGTTTCACCCACATCTATGGCAGGCATCCTCAAGAGGCTGTGAGGTCTGTTTGTAACTAGGCAAGTGGGGTTTGTATATCTGTGGAATGTCCAGGGTGGGAAAAAGAACTCATGTCTGCTTGAGGTAAGTGTGAATGTTGCAATTGGTCATCTTGATGAGCATTTAATGACCTTGCAGCTTCGAAGCCGAGCTAGTTGCTGCCCAGAAATCCTTTGTTGGGAGCTGTCAACTGGCCCTGATTGCTTCATGTCAGAAATTCCCCT